TGACAAACACCATATTTAAAAGATAGAATTTGAAGGAAACTGTATGATATGCACGTTTTATTTTCAAAATGTTTTTGTTATTGACACGGTGAGTCAGGCAGTTATTTACACTGCAAAAAAATAAGGCCTATCTCCATTCAAATATACATTCTAAAATATATGTTTACTTTATAGGCAGAATTGCATACATTTGAATAGCAATGTGATGTCTCAAAAAGCATTTATAGGCTTTATAAATCTGAAAACTTGTGTACGTAAAATCCAGCTTTTGTGCGTACGCACACATTTTGGATGAAATCTACGTAAAGTTTTATACATGAGGCCCCAGGCCCCATGGATCGGCACGCATGTGATTCGCGGATTAACTGTTAAGTTTAACCTTCATAGAGGGAAAGTTTATCATTTGCACGTGTTTTGTCTTGCCAAATTACACATTCAAGCAATTTTAACTCGCACACTGCTTTCTGTGCGCTCAGCCGCTATTGTGTTATATTTACACTAGCTTTCTATTTTTTATATTCTATCTACTTGTTTTTCTTTGTGTGTGTGTGTGTATATTAAGCTTTCAGTCATTTTTTTTCTTTGCTGATCCGAAAAATGATACAGTCCGTGACTCAAAATCCATAATATGATCCGAACCGTGAGTTTTGTGATCCGTTGCACCACTAGTTTTAATGAAAAGCAAAAAGATGTTCGTAATTGCTCTCCTAATTCATGTAAATAGTGAATAATAACCCCATTAATTACAATAAGCAGTAAATTTAAAACAACATGCAGTAACAACATGCACTTGGAGCCTTCTGTGCCAAGTCTTACTCCCAAGGGTCTAATTTGATCTTTTTTACTTCAAAATAAAAACTATAATTTTTGCTCTACAAATCTAAAAATGTGGTTGTGTTCACAAATAGACACAAAAATGTTGATTTTCAACATAATACAATGTCATAGATCACTATTTTCCAGAAACACAAAACGAGATCAATTAACCTCAAAACTGTTTCGACTGACTAATCTCACAAATGTTGATATTCACATGAAATGACAAAATGAAGTGTTGAGATGAGATTGTGTGCTATCATCATGCCCTAGGGCCATCTTACCAAGTCTTCCCCCCCCATGTTCATTCTTGTAACTTTTTTTAATTGTTGCATCATTTCTCATTATTTATACATTGCACCACATGACTACAACAAGACGGGGTCCATAAATGATGGTGCATTGATCATTTGGCAAAAAGCTATAAGTTTTACATTTAAAAACAATAATTTACTACAGTACCGCTAGAAAATCCACTGTATACACTCATGTCTGGATGAATCATCGCCACACAGGACAGATAAGAATATTAGTGTCTGCAATCAAAACTCATAATAGTAAACCATAAATCATCAAATCAGTACTGGGCAAGTACAGATACTGCAAGCCTGCTGTGAGGAAATCGCCTACAAATTTACACCCAAATTCATACAAACCTCATCCATTGTGCAAATCCTTAAACATACACTCGTGCAAATACACAGACAGAGCAGCCTTGCTTAACCCAAAAGGATTATTGAATCCTATTAATCAGATTAAATGACTGAAAGGCAAAGACCACACAATGCATTTTGTGCTGCAAAAAGAGATAGGACTGGCCTTAAATCAATACCACAAATAAATCAAAAGATGCACTGAACAGTGTTGCCAACTCTCACAAGATAAATAAGCAACCGCAGCTTCAAAAACAAGCCCAATTTAATTATATTATTTATTATCATCAACATTATTTATTATCAATAAATGAGCATGCAACATAGTAAACTGAAACCAACCACTCTGAGTTTGAAGAGCAAAAACAGAAGTTATTTTACAAAAATCATCAAACAAAGCGGGAGGGCACACACTATCCTCCGATCACTTGCGAGCAGAATAGTTTTGGAGATGGAAAAGGAGAATAAGACAAGAGCACTATGGGGGAGCTTTATTATAGCCACATATTTATAATAAAATAAACTCGAACCATATGTATCTACTATTAGTATTACTGCTTGTTTATTTATTGATTTAATGATAATGCATTATAAAAATATTTTACAAATTGAATTAGGTCCCTTTCCTCCCCCGCACTGTTCACCTTCTCCCATGTTTCCTCTCCATCTCTGTTGGTGGCCTTGTTCTTCTATTTACATGTATTAACCATCATCCTTGGATTACACCGTCACATGTCTGCACGTTAAACGAGATTTTACTCCAATAAATGGGAGGAGGGGGCTTGGCTATTAGTTGCAAGCAGACAGTGTCAACAATATATTGGGAAAAAAACATCATAAACATAAAGAAACGAAGTTGCTTGTCAGGTTTTCCTAACAAGCAGCCATATTAAAAAAATTAAAAAAAAAGCTCTAAACCCCTGATTTTTAAACGCGACTTAACAAAAAAAAAAGAAAAAAAAAAGGAGCCCAAAGTCGCGTAAAATAAGCGGACTTGGCAACTCTGGCAGTGAACCTTATAAACTGTATTTTACATGTCCAAAAGAAGAAAATCTATGAACAAGCACACATATTTTAAAGACTAGAAATCACTGCAGTTGTAACACATAGAAAGTGCTAATAGAGTGCTTATGGATCGTTAAATGTAGATGTGGATAATATATTTAATAAGTAGTAGCCTACTTCTGAACGTTTGTCTGTATATTAAATGCATTTGGATCCATAGAGAAATGTATTTTAAAATAAGATGCATAAAACATAATAATTTAACAGAAACCCGCAAATCTATGACTGTAACAACATCACATTTGAATAAAATAGTCTCTAAAACGTCGTACTGACTATTATATTAAGTCTGACAGGTGCTTGATGGGGAAAAACGATAAACTGCTGTAGCATATTCAGGAAAAAAATAGATATGTAAAAACGAATAAATAATTCAAGATATAGGCTACTGTAGACTGAGATCAATAATTTTACCACAATACAGTAACTATAAAAAATAATTAAACAGAATAAAAAGGTTTATTTTGCTTTGGCAGATTTCTTTCAGGTAAAATGTTAGCTCCAGTGTTTGGTTAATTTACACCACACATTTTGTAGGCATGTCTGAAACATGAGTCACATTATAAAGGGCGTTTCAGCCTTATGTTCACTTGGCTTTATTTGCTTTTACCATCACTTACCTCCTTCTTCACGTTTCGCAGCAGTCTCTGGCGGGTTTCGGCTTCTAGGAAAGAAATAAATTATATATATATATATATACACACACACACACACACACACACAGAGAGAGAGAGAGAGAGGAAGCCTAATTATTAAATATGAAAAAGTCAAAGTCAAACGTGTGATACTGTTGTTTAGAAGTGTTTCGAAAAATAAAAGCAGAATTTGTCGCACCTGCTGTTGTGGTTGCCATGATTGTGGTATTCAGCTCTCTCGCTCATGTCTGAAACATGAGTCACATTATAAAGGGCGTTTCAGCCTTATGTTCACTTGGCTTTATTTGCTTTTACCATCACTTACCTCCTTCTTCACGTTTCGCAGCAGTCTCTGGCGGGTTTCGGCTTCTAGGAAAGAAATAAATTATATATATATATATATAAACACACACACACACACACACACAGAGAGAGAGAGAGGAAATTTGCCTAATTATTAAATATGAAAAAGTCAAAGTCAAACGTGTGATACTGTTGTTTAGAAGTGTTTCGAAAAATAAAAGCAGAATTTGTCGCACCTGCTGTTGTGGTTGCCATGATTGTGGTATTCAGCTCTCTCGCTCTCCACTCCACTGACGCTTAACACTCGACTGGATGAAGCCAAAGCAGTTCAACATTTCCCTGACTGGCAGCGAGATCACGTGACCTGCCAGAGCGATTCCTACAACGGTGGAGATGGCAAACTCCGTGTATCAAGCAGTTCTACCTGGAGTGAGTTATAGGTTAGAATTTCTATTCATCTCAGCTGCTCGGGTGTAGTGGTATTTCGTTTGTAAACGATTCGGTGTTTTAAACAAAAATTAGACGATTCATTCGTTCACTGTCTCTCCCGGTTGAAGCACGTGACTGTTTTGGTGGCTGACTACAGCACTAGCAAATAGCATTTGAGTACCATTTTTGAAAGAGCATTTCTTTGGTTGGAGCTGATGAACGAATACGCCCTTCATTGAACCAGTCGCTGTTTTGTTCTAGGAAAACGAGTCTCCGCGGTAACTGTGCTGCCTAGTGTATGTCGAACAAACTCCAAAAACTTCTTCTGTGCGCCAAAACATTTTTTTATAAACATTTGTCTGATGAGGGAGATTAACGTATACCGACTTGAGAAATATTTTTCCTGATAATATTTATGTCTTTTCTATCTGCCGTTTAGAACTATTGACGTCCGATTTACGAATGAATCACTCTTGTGAATCGATTCTTTTCAATTAACCTTCCTTACGGGTAAATTATACATGTCTGAATCAATTTGCGATGCAGTCTGAAAGATTCGAACTACTCACTCACCCACTGAACCGACAACACAGAAAACAAGAGGAGCATTGGATTAAGTGAATTATGTACCTATAATCAATTCAAACCTAACCTGCAGATGCATTCTATCATTTGAGAACGACTCAACAAAGAGTAGCTATCAACAAAATAACAGCACACAAAAGCACGGAGAGCATAAAGTAGCCTATCAATTTTTTTTTTTTTACTACTTATATGCCAAAAATAGTCTGAATACACGTATACCTTTCTTGTGACATTATTGACAAGAGCAGCGTGCTATTGACATTGCTCTCTGCTGCACAAAAGATACAGCTGGAAAAAATAAATAAATAAAAGGAGAGTTTGCAATTTAAATCCACATTGAAAGTGCATCCTGCTCCCTAGTGTTCCTTCATATGAAATGAAAGAAAAGTCTGCTTTTTTCTATCTCTCTTTTGCTGCACAAAGACACTATGTTCCCACTTCGGAATGAAATTTAATTGAGAAACGGGTCAGAGAACATTTTTGGAACAAGCTTACGGGTTCAAACCTTCAGCAGCTACATGTGTTGCTAAGCAACAATGTAGGGCCCCATTAACAGTACTAATTGAGTAAAGTCTGAGAAAACTGTGATCTTCATCGTCTCTCTGGGGGAAATGCCACCTCATTGTTGAAGTATGACTTTCATATAATTGCATTTTATCAAGACAACCAATACATGGTGCAGAGTAAAAAAAAAAATATAGAGATGATGGTGTACAAACATCACTTTTTATGGGAACCTAATTCAAAATGGTGCTTAATTGAGAGCTCTGGACTTTTGAATACAACTGTAGGGTATAGAGACCGTAATATAAAACAATGGAGATTGAGGTGGAAAGTGACACCAAATGTGCTTGCATTAACTAAATGTATCGCCCTGTGTTATCTAAAAGATAGATAATTTACAAACAACTGAATGTAGTTTTGTGTAGTCCTGTGACTTTGGAGCCCCCTACAGTTAAGTGAGTGAAATCCACCCGCTCACATACAGTAGGGCCTTCTCCCACTCAGACGTTTGAAGGGGAGCGTGGGAAAGAAACAGAAGCCATTCGCCTTATTGGAAGTCAGTGAGCACGTTTACATGCACACCAGTAAGCAGTATCAGCTTATTAAAATAACCAGTTTTCCCCGTTTACATGCACATCAGTAACCTGACAACGCAAGTAAGCTGCGTTTACATGACTTCATTAATAAATCAGGTTATTTCCCTGTAGTGACGTCCTAAAGTCTGAGAAAACTGTGATCTTCATCGTCTCTCTGGGGGAAATGCCACCTCATTGTTGAAGTATGACTTTCATATAATTGCATTTTATCAAGACAACCAATACATGGTGCAGAGTAAAAAAATAAAAATAGAGATGATGGTGTACAAACATCACTTTTTATGGGAACCTAATTCAAAAGGGCTTCATGCTAATTTTGGTGCTTACTTGAGAGCTCTGGACTTTTGAATACAAATGTAGGGTATAGAGACTGTAATATAAAACAATGGAGATTGAGGTGGAAAGTGACACCAAATGTGCTTGCATTAACTAAATGTATCGCCCTGTGTTATCTAAAAGATAGATAATTTACAAACAACTGAATGTAGTTTTGTGTAGTCCTGTGACTTTGGAGCCCCCTACAGTTAAGTGAGTGAAATCCACCCGCTCACATACAGTAGGGCCTTCTCCCACTCAGACGTTTGAAGGGGAGCGTGGGAAAGAAACAGAAGCCATTCGCCTTATTGGAAGTCAGTGAGCACGTTTACATGCACACCAGTAAGCAGTATCAGCTTATTAAAATAACCAGTTTTCCCCGTTTACATGCACATCAGTAACCTGACAACGCAAGTAAGCTGCGTTTACATGACTTCATTAATAAATCAGGTTATTTCCCTGTAGTGACGTCCAAATATAATCATTTGCATATCTGACTCCGAGTATTCCATACATTTGTCAGTTGTGATGTTAAATTAAGCTTGCAACATGTCGGGAAACTTACAGCTCATATATTATACTCTCATGCAGTTATAAACGCAGCATTGTGACTGAACCACTTCAGTACACATTGAACCACTTCAGAACACATTTTTATCATTTTCGGAGTCATGAAAAAGTCTGCGTTTGTGATATATTTCCTTCTTTCTTTACGGCAAGACGTCTGCTCGGTCTAGATGCGCTTAAATCTGCACTAACGACGCGTTCCTGTTACGTATCACACATGCGCACTTCAATAAGCCGACAGAAAGCGGGTTAGCGTTTACATGCCGTGCGAAATCAAAGTAAGAGGCAAAAAACTAGCTGTTTATGGCCGGTTTATGCTTACGCCGTTTATGACCTTACTCCGATAAAAGAAAACGGGTTACCGCGTTTACATGACCAAGTGCGTTTTCGGCTTATTAAACATAATCGGCTTAAGAACATTTCAATGTGAAACATACATACAGTTGCTTTAAATGATGGTTTTAAGCTCTATAGAAACAGCGGACTCAGCTAAAGATAATATTGGTTGTTTATTTAAAGAAACAATTGAAGAAAGAAAGAATTCAGTCATGAATTTAAAAACATATAGGACAAATTAACCACATTTAAACGGCATATATAGCCTAGCATATAGAATATTTTATATTGTAGTCAAGGGTTCATGGTAAATGCATTCAGTCATATGCTAGTTTTGGTAGAAAAGGTCATGCTGAATGACTCATGGTGCAAAGGGCTAGTTAGTAGGAGAGGGAACTGAATCAGAAATGAGCAAACAGTATCTGATTATGTATATTCTGGGCCTTGGTTACAGCCTTGCCTGCAGTTTAAAAAAAACAGCCACTTGATACCAACAGGTCTGCTATTGGTCATTATTCAAACACATGAGTCATTGAATCTGTAATTAATTAATTCAAGGCTCTTGTGCATGACAGCACTTATGCTGATTGTGTGGGCTTTTTGAGGGAAACCCCACCTTTTTTTTCCAACTTTGCTCCATTGCATAACATTGTCTGAGATGGAAACCATTTTAACAGCAGTAAACAGATACCTTTCCCCAGCTTCTATATGTTGTATAGGCTAACAAGAATCTCAGTGTTAATTCTTGGCCAATATGAAATGAATATGTCAGTTAAGAGGTGAGTGAATCTACACTTACACTTAGCAGTTGGTGAAATTCATTTGAACTAATAACTTATGTTAACAAATGAAACCTTAGTGTAAAGTGTTACCGAATAGATTTGAACAGCAGAGAGAGAAGTTGACATGATTGCTTAGGTAGGGATTTGTTGAATTAGCTGGTAAATAAAGCAATATCAGAGTGCACACATGCTTAAACAGACTGTACAAACCAGATGGTATCTCCCCCACTAGGGATGAACACAGAGAGTCGATATTCTAATTAACACTTTGAAAATCTTGTAATGAGAAGAAAAGAAAAAAGCATATCAATTAATGTGCACAGCTGTTCACAGTAAGAGATGAAAAGTGTGAATCATTACTGCCACATATTGTAGAAGTATCTAACCATAGTCTATATAATAGCATGTAATTTTGACATTTTAGACTGTACTGAACATTTTTACTGATCTAAAGAACATATGCATTTTAGTCTCAAATGAATAACATTGCATTTTACTGGTGGTTTGTTGTTGTTGTTAAAATAAAAAGCACAGTTTACATGTTACCATAATTCTATTTTTGCAATGGCATGATTTAGAATTGAGCAAACTTATAGATTTACTTTGAGAAATGTCACAAATGGTATTATTTGATCCTGTAAAAGAAGTATTTCATGCAGTACAAAACATCCATGATGTATTTTAGAGGAATTTAAATTGAAGTTGTTTAACACAAAGAACAAAAAAAAAAGAAAGAAAAAAAGAATTTGCAACACATGGCAGTGCCCACTAGGTGGTGACTTTAAAACACCAATTGGAGAGCAGATGTAACACAGTATGTCTGCCTCAAAACAGTACAAACTGCTGAAAAATATAAGGAACAGTAATCACAAAATCTAGATGGAAAATCAGCATTCAAAATATTTAGTACTCAACTATGTAGAAAGATATAAAATAAAAGATAAAACAGATTACTTCCCATGACAAAACACTGAAAGATTCCAGAAAAAGCAAGAAGGAATATCATGCTGCTGCGGAACCACAGGCTGATATTATATATCAAAAAGGTTGGATGACTCCGTGATGATGATCAGACAGGTGAGGGCAGACCTAAAGGGGAAAGCTGTCATGTAGATTGAGCTGGCGAGAGGAGATGCGGTCGATTTTGGTGGACAGGAGGCCAGGCAAATCCACCACCATGCAAATCTAGTGTCCAGCCCAGGGCCCATGACTTATGAACTGGAAGAGCAGAATTGACAGGCAAAAACATTTTAATTCATGAAAAAATTAATAAATCAGTATTAAATTCATTAACATCTCTACACAAAAGATTGTGATGCTCAGAGCTCCATTGAAGTAACCATCCACATAAAAATGCAAATTTGTTGACAATTTACTCACCCTCAAGCCATCCAAGATGTAGATGGGTTTGTTTCTTCTTCAGAACAGATTTGGAGAATTTAGCATTA